CGTGTCATGCCGAGCCGGACAAACGGAGGCGGCGGCGGCGGCGCGCGAGGAGTCCTCTTCTTGTTCCTTTCATAAGCTCAATTCAATGCCTAAGCTTAAATATGAGAATACGAAAGGTTTAGAAACCGGTGTGGGACAAAGGCATTTTACTCTACCTTAGTATTCAACTTTGAGAATTAATTTCTCATTCACCCGAGCACCGTTTATGACATGTCATATGTCAAGACGTTCGTCTTACTTACGAGATTAATCGTCCATAATTATTTTGGAAAATAATTTTGTGGACCCTACCGAGTTTATGTCCAAAAATGTCCAATTTACTTTAAAATTTCCAACACAAAATCAGAAGCTAATTTTTTTTATGGGACGAAATTCTAAATACAACACAAAAAGGGGAAATATATTCTACCATCAGTTTCATTAGCATATAGTATACTCATTCAGGAACAAAATATATACACTCTTTTCATAGTCCTCTTTTTGAGTCTTTATCTTGTGATGTTTGTCCTAGAGCTAGGCAACATAAAATCCCAATTCCGATCCCCATAGTCAAAGCCACTCGACACACATTTTTTAACTCATTCACCTTGATCTCTGAGGACTTTATCATACAAAAACATACAACGATTTTCTTTTTTTCTCATCATTATAGATGACCTCTCTAGGGAAACCTGGACATACCTTTTATCAGCCATGAGTAATGCTCCAAATATCGTTCAAACTTTTTTGACTATGGTTAAAACCTAATTTGACAAACAAATCAAAGTCATTAAATCTAATAATGCTTTCGATCTTGGTAAAAGCTATTCTATGTCTTAGGTTTTTCTCTCAAAATGAATCACCCATCAAATTAGGGTCATAAATACTCCTCAACAGAATGGGGTTGTGAAAAGAAAATACAAACTTTTTAGAAACATCCAGGGTTTTATTCATTCAATCCAATTTACCTCTAAAATTCTAGAGAGAGTGTGTTTTGACTGCCTTACCTTATATTGAATCACAAATCACCCTATGTAGTTCTTTTTGGTAAAGCTCCATAGTATGAACAGTTAAAGGTTTTTGGGTGTCTATGTTACTCTTTTACACAGGCACAATGTAGACATAATTTCTAGAGACAGATTTAGATTGTGTTTTCTTAGGCTACACATATGAAAAAGGTCTTACAAAGTGTATAGTATTTGATGGATATCGAGTCTGATGGACCCGACTCAAGGCCCGATAAAGACCCACAATCGTGCAAAAGTAAACGAGCCCAGGTGCGAACATCAGATCAGGCCCACTAAGACGCATATGGGTAATGAAGCGGATGACCCAATTGTGGGCTGAATTGAGGTGATCCAGTCCGAGAAAGGAACAGGACACGTGGCCCACACTCCAAATTGTGTGGGAAATGGGAAGAGAACGAGACCGGAAAGGAAGGGAATCACAATCCCATGATCTCCATAATTCTACCCATTATGTGTAACTTTAGTTGAGAAATTAGAAGTACTATAAAAAGGGGAAGAACCCGCCATTGTGGAAAGGGAGAACATTCGGATTACATACCCAATTAGAAACATTATTTCGAGATTATATTCTCTTGATTCTTATATTGTTCTTGGTCCGCCATCTGATCGGGTTAATCCCATCAGTATTCATACTCACTGAGTAGAAGATTCTAGAGATGTACAATTTCATGAAACCGTTTTTCCTTTTCAAACTCAACCACCTTCATCCCCTATGTTTCTTTCAGATATTTATATGACACAACCTTTACCGAATTCATCTCCAGTGTTGCCCTCTTTTTCTTTACCCACATCTAATGCTTTACCTGAAATTCATCTTCATTCCTCCCTTGTTCCTGATTCTTCATCTCATTCTATATCACAACGACCTCCTTCTCAACCTTCTAGTATATCCAATAGATCTCATCCTCCCACACATCGCTAGGATTATGTTTGTCAATCTTCCTCATAATTTCTTTGTGTCTCCATCTGCTTTGTTTTGTTCTCATACTCTTACTTCTACCTCTTCTTCACCACACATATGTTTGGGGGCACTAACTCAAGATTGTAAAAAGTTCTTGCACAATGTTTCCTAGATGCACGAACCAAGGAACTGTGGAAGCTAGTGTCGATCCTGCTTGGAAAAAAGCCATAGATCAAGATTTCTAAGCCTTAACTAATACAGGAACCCGGGAAGTGTATTCTTTACCCAAAGAAAAGAAGATTATCACTTGTAAATGAGTCTACAAACTGAAATTTATGTCTGATGGGACAGAAGGCTAGGTTGGTCATTCGGGGATGCACTCAAAAGGTATGTATTGACTACTATGAAAATTTTTTCCCTGTAGTCAAGATGACTACTATCTGAGTTCTCTTAGTAGATACAGTTAAGAACCATTATCCCATTTATCAAATAGATGTCAACAATGCATCCTCCACGGAGATTTTGATGAAGAAATCTACACGAAACTCCCATCTTTCCGGTCCTAATCTGGTCCTTCGGTTAAGGAAATCTCTATATGGACTCGAACAGGCTTCTAGGCTGTGGTATGTTAAACTTTGTTTTATTTTGAGATCTAAAGGACACATGGATTTCAAGAATGATTATTCTCTCTTCACTAAGAGAATATGTTCCTTAGGGGTACACTTTGTAGTCTATTTAGATGACATCATTGTCACTAGAAACCATTTTTCTAAAATCACAGCCCTCAAATATCATTTGGATGATTTTTAAAAATCATAGATCTTGGGACATTAAGTTACTTTCTGGGTTTGGAAGCTGTCTATAAAAATGAAAGTCTGATCCTTTCTCAAAAAAGTTCACTAACGATCTTTCTAAGACTTTTGGTTGCCCTCCCACTTCACATGCGTCATGTCTTCTAAAAGCTAATCTGGCTCCAACTCAAAATAGACTCGGGTTTACCTTTGTCGAATCCCTACCTTTATCAATGTGTTGTGGGTAAGCTCAAGTTTTTACCCATACATGACTAAATATTGCTTATGCTATCCAATTTCTAAGTCAATTCATGCAAGATCCTAGAATTTCTCATTGAGAAGCAGCTCAACATAGTCTCAAATATCTCAATTCTACCCCCTCACAAGGTCTCTACGTCAATGATTCTACATATTTCAAACTTACACCCTATTGAGACTCTGATTGGGTAGCCTGTCAAAAACACTAGGAAGTCAGCTAGTGGTTTCTTCATCCTTCTAGGAGAAAGCCCCATCTCTTGGAAAGCTAAGAAAAAAACAAAGTCTCCCTTAATTCCGCACAAACTGAATACCGTTCCATTACTTCCATAAGAAGGGTCACTACTTAATTCGCAACATTGTGTTTCCTCTTCACTTATTTTTATTTCCCTGATATTGTTCCTATAAATCTCTATAAAATATGATAGCAAGGCTGCAATTTTCATTGTTAATAATCTCATTTATCACGAACTCACAAAGCACATTCAACTTAATTGTCACTTTGTGTGGGAGAAGCTTCAAGAAGGGCTCTCACTCACATTTTCACTGTTGATCAAGTGGCTGACATCTTTACTAAGAGTATGCCTAGTACTCTTCATCATAAACATACTGTCAAGTTAGGGGTTAGGACACCCTCAACCGGGGGGGGGGGGGGTGTTGCAATATCTACTTAGTTTTCAAGTAGATAGACATTTTCCTTATCCTGTTTCTTTTGGTTAGTTTTTTATGTTCGAGCTTTCTCCTCTTTATATTCTTTGTATAGTTTCCTGTTTTGGCAAGTTGTAAGAATCACTTTCCATTCTCATTGATACACAATAGATTTTTCTGTTGGGGGAGAAGCAACAAGTAGGATACGACACCTACAAGGATCAACTTCAAGACAACCAACCAAACACTTGACCCAATTTACCACAATTGATTAACCAAGCACACAAAATCAGCAACACATCAAATAAACCACAATAAAATATGAAGAATAAAGATGCAAACGACACACGATTTTTATACGTGGAAAACCCCTTCGATGTGAAGGATAAAAACCACGGGACTTATAGGGAGTCCGCCCTCTTCTTCTCTTATTATGCAAATTGAGGGTAAAAACACCCAAACTCAGTCTACAAGGATGTCACAGCCCAC